GAAGCTGGGTAGGGAGACGCCTTGGCCTGCCCCCACTGCTCAAGTGGCCAAGAAGGGCCAGGCCCTGCTCCTTTTCCTGCCCGAGGCCCCTCCCGCCAGCAGACTGGTCTTCTTGCCCTGACTGGTCTCCCCTTCTCCTGACTGTGCAAACCACATCCCTCATTCATTGACCCAGTCCCTACTGCACTCCAGGCACTGTGCAAAGTGCTGGGGATACACAAAGGGACAAGTCACAATCCCAAGCTCACGGGCTCCGGCAAGGACAGGTGGAGTGACGGAGACAGACATGTAAATACAGTTACAACAGGACATGGTGCTCGGCGTGCACAGAGCTGTTAAAAGTCCATCAGGTCAGGGAGGGGCTGGGGCATCCAGCAACCTGCCAGGCAGGGAGCCACATTGAAGCAGAGCATTGAAGGGCTGGGTGAGGTGGCAAAGGGTCCTTTCGGCCCCAGGACAGCAGATGCAAAAGCGTGGTGGCCGGAAGGAGCCTGGAGTGAGCAGTGGAGGCTGATGGAGGGTCTTGGTGGGTGAGGAGGGAGGCCAGCAGGTGGGCTGGGCAAGACTTCGGAGGATTCTGCATCTCCAGCTGCGGGACTGGAGCTCTATTGAGCCCGGGGCCTTTAGGGTTTTTAAGGAGGGAGAGGATGAGATCACATTTGCTTATGGGAAGGTCACTGTGGCAGTGGGTCCGTGTGAGGGGGTGAGGGATGAGGGGTCAGGTGGCCCGAACCAAGGCAGTGGCTTTAGGAAGGAGAGGCCTTGGTGCACTGGAGGGACATTAGGGAGGGAGGGAAGGACCAAGGACGCCTCCCAGGTCCGGGGCCTGGGTGCCTGGTAGATGGAGTTAGGGAACCTTGGGTGGGCATGCGGGGGCCTGTAGGCCCCGCTGCCTCCTCTTCTCTCTCAGACCCCTGTCCTTCCTGCTCAGCCTCTCAGGGTCTCCACGGTTAACTCACTTTTGGTTTGCGCCCCTTGGGCTTGGGTGCGAAACGGGCAGGCTGGGAGAATTGCATCACGGAGAAAGCAGGCTGGACAGGGACTGCTCGGGTGTTCTGTTAAAACAAAAGGGGCCATGGGGTGAAGAGAAGTTTTAAGAAGCCAGGGGAGAGTGGAAAGGCAGGGGCCAGGACTAGAGGGAGGAAGCCAGGCAGGTGGGGACAGGGTAGGCAAGAGACTTGGGTAGGGAGGGAATATGAGAGATGAGGACCAAAAAGAGAGAAGCTCATATTTGCTGTGGGCCTACTGTGTGCCTTTCCCATCTCAGGAGCACACTCAAATACTGAAAGTGGAAATTACATCTCCAATCCAGGCGCCTGGGGCCCTGTGGGAATGTGGGCCAGGCATACCCCAATCTTCCCAGTTTTCACAAAAAGCCAGACATTCAGGTTTCCATGTGATATCACCTGACCTGGAAAATTTGTTTGATAAAATGCACATAAAATTTACCACCTTCACCATTTTAGAGTGCACAGCCGAGGGCTCATTCGGTGCCTTCACACTGTTGTGCAGCCATCACCAGCATCAGCTCCACACTGCAAACCTGCCCCTGACCTTGTAGATGTTGGTAACACATTCAAAAGTTGGAAAACACAAAGAGAGTCCAGTAGACCCTGGTGTGGGCCCATGGGGGCCATTACGTGACCTCTGACACATATCGCCTCATTGAGCCCACACATACCTCCTGGGGAGGCTGTGGCTATGCCCCTTGCACAGATGAGGAAACTGAGGCTGGGAGAGGCAGACTCACTGTGTGAGATCCCACAGCTGATGAGAATGGCAGAGCTGGGATCTGAGCTAGATTCAGTGTGACTCCCAAGCTGGTTCTTTGGGGAACCACATGGCCTCCTAACCAGGTGGGAGTACAGAGTGACAGATAAGAGGGGAGGGAGTCAGGCTGAGGCAGGTGCTCTGGACAGAGACAGTGACACGGGACAGAGGTAGCAGGAGGTATGTCCCCAGAGCCATCTGGGTGAGAAATTGGCTGGAGCCTTTGGCTCCACCCAAAGGGCCTAGGCAGAGTAGATTGGCCCCTGCACCCAGCCCCTGGGACAAGTGCCATTTGGACAATCTGACCTGGAAGCTGATGTGTGTCAGCCCCACGGTGCCGGTGACAGAGATGTTGTCCACGCGGTGGAAGGGCACGCGGTGTATGTAGTTCGTATAGAAGTTTCCATTCACCGTCACCTGTCAACAGGAGCGCATAGTCCAGGAGAGGGGACCCAGACCAGGGCAGGGAGAACACTGAGCACTAAGACCCCGGCTTCTAGAAATTAAGGCCTGTCTGGGTTTCACTTCCATCCCCTGTAGGTGGG